ACGAAAAACATAGAATTTTCAGAAAGACGAAATTGTCAAACGGAGAAGGATGTTGCAAACACAACAGGTGTGGCGTTTTTCAATCGGTCTGGCACGCTCAATGGTACTCCAAAAAATGGACGTTCTTGAGTTGCACTCTAGGTATTCGGAAGTTGATGATCGCGGCTGTCAGGTCACCGTGGCGGCGTGGACGTTCCAAATGTAGACAGTCATCGACAGAGCTTAGAATTGTCTTACCGGGCGGTGTAGTAAAGATCGACCAGTGCCTCATTCTTTCACTTGACTATAGAGATAAAGATGGCATCCAAACTGACAAGCCGAAATCATTGCAAACCTTATCACCGCTCGATGTTGATCGATGCACTAGGATTGGGCCGTGGATCGCAAAATTACAGATGTCCGAGGTGCCACTGTTACGGAACGAACTTGCAGTTATTCCAGTTGTCACCAGAGCTGAGGATCTCTCACCTGCAGTGTATAGCTGAGTGAAGGCGTTCTGCCGGTGCCAACAGAAATTCCGCGGCAAATTGCTCGTTTTGAAGAAGTTTAAAAAATGTGTGAAAGAGCTTGCTGAACGCTGCAGCGCATAATTTGTTTATTTTGTAGACATGGAAAAAAATGCTCCCCTCACGCTAGTGTTACCAGTTACTAGTTACCACGGTCAGCCGCCGTCAACCTGCAGTTTTTGCAGTGCCAGAATAGAACGTCATAAGACGTCGACTTGTAAGACGATAAACTTGACAAACGGAGTAAGACGTATCACAGCAAGTGGTGCATTTCGACCGGCCTGATACGTCCAATGGTACGCCAAATACTACAGATTGGCGGGTGGTTGATTGTGGTAACTGGTAATACATGAGTGTGCGGTGAAGGTCAAAGTTGATGAAATTACTCCACGTCTACAAAACTATGGCAGAAACATATTCTGCGAGCAACATTCACCAATGATTTCCACAAGCATTTTTTGGACCTCTTCCAAAGCGATCTTCGTGTTGGTTTACTTGGGACTTCTTCTGCCACGCACGGGACGGTATTCAATCCGCAATATACCGGAGACAGAAGCCTTAGCTCTGGCGACGACTGGAAATTTCTAGCAATTGTGCGTCGTAGTGGTGGCTCGCAGACAGCTTTGATTCTCCGGTCTACAGCCAAGTCCAGCGCTTCAATGAATAAATAGCAGTAATCAAGTTCCACGAATATTGAAATGGCCACGTCGGCGCCGTCCAACTCTGCAGTCTCGTGATAGGTTGGCACCGGCGACGGACCGGTCTCTGCTATGACGTGATGAAAAGTTGGCGATTCAGTCCTGAGCTCCGGTGATGACATGGCACGCCGCAACTGGGAACCGACCTTCGTCATCCCACCGTCGAATGCCAAATCTTGCAGCGAGCCAACCATCACGGACCGTTGCTCATTGGCATTTTCCAACGACTTGGCGTTCATTTTCTGTGCCATTTAGTAAAAAAAAAAATGTAAAGAATGAAACTTAGTAACAGTTCTTGAAGTTTCTACTGTCCAGGCACATGTGCCGCGGAGACGAGCTAAACATAAACTAACGAACTATAAGAACAATCTGTTTGTACTGCGAATATTAAACATTAGCAGCATTGTTGGTTTTTGGTTTGTATTGTGGCCAGTATAGTTAGATTTTAGTCAGCTACTCAATAGCAAATAGTTACAAAAAAAAAAAATCACTATTTATAAATTGTTTTGATCAATAAAACCTAACAGGTTATCAGAATTATACCACATTGTTAAGCGACTTAGATTGTTGAAGTCAAGATTTCAAATCTGCAAACTTTTTACACAATTATTGATCACTATTGAACAAATTCAAAGGCTGGTCATAATCGAGTTTAAAATTTAAAGTTACCTAGTTGAACAAAATTATAATTTTTTTTAACTTTGTAGCTTGTCTAGGTATGTTTTGTTTTTTGTTAATTTATAACTACTAACTTAACTTAATTGATTTTTAATTAACTTTTTGTATTAAAGAATCACATTTTATGTTTGAGAAGTTAATATAATTTATTTTGTTTTCGATTTTATTTTATTACATTTAAATCGATTCCGTTTTCTTATTAAATAATATTTCAGGTAATGTTTGGTGTGAATTGTTGACTTACAAATTATAACACAATAATGCTATATAAAATATAAATATTCATATGCATACTATCCTTTACTCTTGTCAATTTAAGTCTGAGACTTAATTTTGAATAGTCAATTTATTGTACAAGTATTATACAATAAGTAGAAAGATGAACTGTTCATTTTATCAAAACATGTACTTATCTAGCTTATAATATATTATATACAACCTATATGATACGTCAAAACCAAAACTAATTTCTTCATACTTTTACCATTTAATACTATATGAAGAAACACCGGCACCGATGATTTCTTCAACAAATTAACATGTTTTTTTATTTTTCTATTAACACTCAAACTTACTACTACTAACTACTAATCTGTAAACTATATGATTAAAAAAACAAAAAATAAATAGTATATGAATCAGAAAATATTATGTTAATTAGAATTTTAATAAGAAAAATGTAGAATCAATAAATTATATATTTAAATAAAATATAAAAATAAACACAATACAGAAATTAAATCTGATTCTAAAGGAAAAAACGCAGGTATAATATAAAGTAAAGAATAGCTTTTAATGAATTAAGAACAATATAAAAATGATTTCACTAATTTAATTAGCGATCGCTGAAAGTATATAAGTACGGTTTTATTGATAATACACAAAAGATTTTTCATTTTTCTTGGCAACTATAGCATCCTTATACTTATTATATTTTTTTGTGATAGGTCGATGGTTTTTAATTTTCCTTTCATGCAATTTTTCCACATAAAGTCATCAATCTCGTTTGAGACCTTGCGCTTTCTAATTGTCGTTGGTATAATCTTTAAAAGCAACTTTTCAGTTTTAAATACCAAAAAAAATAGAAATGTTTATTGGGTATTTATTTTTAATTTATTCCATATAAATATTAATAAGTAATTATTATGAATTTACATAATTTCTATTTATATTAGTAAACGCGTTTTACACAGTATATTAAAGTATATACGATCGTTTTATCTCTATAATGGGCCTATAAGTCTCCATTCACCCACTTCCCACGCACAATAAAAAAAAAATATTTATTTAGATAACGCACGTCTGAGTGTCTGACAACGGTAACCAATTTGGAAAAATCATATTGGAAAATTTCAACCTCAATTATTTATGCAGGAAAATGATTTTTAAGAAACTGTTAATTTTAAAATTTTTTCTTAATTCCTCAATTTTTCGGTAAATGTTATTATCAAATAATTTCGTTATTTGTTAATTGCTATTCGATGTTAATCAAACTCTGTAAAACACAAACGCCGAATTTTATCCCATACTATATATTATCTTAATTCTTAGGTAACCTTAATTTAACAGATTTTATATATTATTATGAAATCCAGCAGCATTTAGAAAATATTGGTTTGTGAATACTAAATGTCAAATCTAAAATTGAATGTGCATATTTTTGCATATTTTAACTATATTGTTATTCCCGATAATCAAATTAATATATTCAAGCAAGTGACGGCCAATAATATTAAGTACCCACCTATTTATATGTTTCTTAGTAAAAGATCAATTGACAAATTATATTATATTATGGTATATATATATTTATATCTCGATAATTCTATTACTCAGAAACTAGGTAGTAGCTAACTATAGTTACTATCATAGCCCTATAAACTAGTTATTATAGGTCTATGGTTACTATTGTCGGTTACTCGAAAAATTATCTCCCCCCCCCCCCCCCAACCAGTCCGTTGTTCGAACACAACATACTGACAATCGGTCCTCAACATTGTACCCCCTTGCTGGCAGTTACGTGTTTAAAATGAAATTCTCTATTCATAGTAGACTTCTTTATCAATATCGATATTTTGATTTGATATCCATATCGAGAAACATTTTTTTTTGAAAATTTAAATATTGATATTACAATACAATATATCGATAATCTAAATTAATTTTTAATTTTTATTTAATGGCCCCCAGATATTGGGTATTGGGTGTTTGGGTTACCAGAAAACAACTGATTTAAAAAAAAATATCTTATATAATATATTTTAAAAACGATTTGGTAACCAATCATACAGATAACGATAAATCGGAGTATCGATAGTTTATTTTTTGATATCGCTATTCAAGATCATACAAAACAAAACGATATCGATAGTCAAAAATATGTAGTTGAAGAAGCACGGTCTTCAGGCCTTAGGCCTGGTGCACACTTGCGTTATTTTGACGCGCGGCAACGCTGCGGCACCGCGGCGAAGCCGCCGTATTCAATGCACACCTAGCGTCAAATAACGCCTTACATACGTGGGTCAGTACGACGCGCAACGTTGAAACGCCTAGTATCACTGAGTTTATTTTCTTTAGTTTTTCACTAGTATTTTCAGCATGAATTCGACACAAGCGATGGAAATTTATAAAAGAAAACGTATAATTTTTGCGTACCTTGTGTACAAAAAATATGTTTTGAAAAATAAAAGGCGTTATTGGGTACACCCATTTACTGATTCAAGACTTGCGAAAGGTATATTTTATACGTCTTTTGAAAATTTACGTGAAAGCCCGGATAAATTTTTTAACTACTTTCGAATGAGTATAAAATCTTTTGACGAGCTTGCCGTTAAAATTTCGACGAAGATTAAGTCTACAGATACGCATTTTAGATTGTCTATACCTCCACTGGAAATGTTAGCTGTTACTTTGAGGTAAGTACATTTTGAAAATTCTGTTTATAATTTTTACTTTAAGACGGATAATTTAATAATATATTAATAGTCAATTAAATTAGACATCACAGTATAAAATAAATATAACGGATATAATTGTATGTATAAACAGTGTAATGTTTTTGAAAATATTTAATAATTTCTTAAATACCTACCGTATTAATATATCCAATATCCATGAATACATTAAGTAGAAACTAGATACAAAAAAAATAGTAATAAATTCTAACACAATTTTAAAATTCATACAAAACATTATTATCGAATAACTTAAGTTCCATCCCTGAAAATGTCGATACTGTCTTCTTCGCTGTATGCCTGATTGTCCATAGTTGTGGAAGACGAGGCTGATGGAGATATTATTTTAAAATTCATGCTCGGACTTTGTGGTTGAGGTAATGAAGTAGTTAGACGTGTTTGAGATATGGGAACTTGATGACGGTTTAAGTAATTGGAATGGTGAGGTGAAGGATAGAAAGGACCGGATACATGTGTAGGTGTATAGTGTGGAAAGTTAGGAGAATGTTCATAATTTTGTATAGCTGGTGGATTCCTCATTCGCTGTATGATTTTCATAACTTCACAACGGAATTCAAGCTTTTGATCTTCGGTGAAATTACTGATAGATGGTAGGACACTTTCAAAAAATGATCTGTCTGGATTGGTTTCTGAAACGGGTGGTACAATCGGAGAAGGAATTGGTGCATTCATAAAATCAATTAAAGTAGTCTCGAAGTCATGTTTGCGTTTTTTGGTTTAGTTTTGGGTATAGATAGGAGGAGTTTCAGACTCTTTTTGTTTTGATGTTATTTGTTCAGACTCACTCAATTCTTCTTGTTCTCCACCTAAACTGGACTGCGTTTCTGTTGTAGCACCAGCAGTTTGCAAAAACGATAGCTGTCGAGCATAAACATACCGTTTACCTACCTCAGCAGCTTGTCCAGATTTTAATTTTTTTTTTTCACTTTTTGTGTAGGTGTCCTTGATATTCTTCCACTTTTGTATAAATTTATTGCCTAAAATAGAGAAAATGTTCAGAATCTAAAATATAACATGTACTATGATTTTTTCTTTATCCAACTAAGTTTTATTTTTTTTTCATTACATATTATTATTTTATTGTTATGTGATTTTTCTAATAATAATAAACTAAAACACTTTTGTATGCTTTTAAACTTTTTCATAGATATTTGGGAAGTGGATGTGATCAGATCGATCTACATCTGACATACAGGATTGGTCATACAACAATTGGAAAGATATTGAGAAAAGTCTGTAGTGCTATTTGGGAAGTCTTACGTGAAGAGTGCTTTCCTGAGTTGACAACTGCCCGATGGAAAAAAATATCTGAAGATTTTCAAAAATACAGTCAATACCCTAATTGTCTCGGGGCGATAGATGGGAAACATGTGCGGATCAGAAAACCAAAAATGAGTGGTTCTCTGTTTTATAATTATAAAATTTTTTTTTCAATTGTGCTTCTAGCAATTGTTGATGCGAATTATAAGTTTATATATATTGATGTTGGTGCTTTTGGGAAAGAGTCAGATAGTTCTATTTTTGAAAGAACTCCTTTCTATAAAAAACTCAAGAATAATGAATTAAACATTCCTAGGAGTCAGCCTCTTCCAGGTACAGTTGGTTCAAATATGCCATACACGTTTATAGGCGATGAGGCATTTTCTCTATCACCAGATATAATGAGACCTTTTAGTGGTAAAGTTTTATCAGACACAAAGCGAATATTTAACTATAGATTATCCCGATCCCGGAGAAACGTTGAATGTGCTTTTGGAATACTTTCAAATAAATGGAAAATGTTTAATAAACCTATCAATGGAAATTTGGATTTATCTATACTTTTGGTAAAGACTTGCTGTGCCCTCCATAATTTTGTAAGGACTAGAGATGGATTCAACGTTGAAGATGTAATGACTATAGATGGACTCATTGAAATCGAACGAGATCTCTCAAGACCACCCAACCAATCAATTCAAATAAGAAACAAGTTGGCAGATTATTTTGTATCTGATGTAGGTAGCGTTCCATGGCAAACAAATTATATTTAAGTAATATTACGTTATTATTATGTTTTATTAATATTTTTTTTAATGCTTTCACAACCTGTCTTATGTGAATCGATTTTTTTTTTGATTTTGTATACATTTACTTTATAAATAGTGTCAAGTAAAGCTTATATAATATATCATATTATAAATATAAACTGAAAAATTAATTTCAAATTTACTTACAAATTTCATTTTTGTCTCTATCGTCCTTCTCGTCAAATCCATCACAAAAAACTCTACAAATATTTATCCACGCACCTCGTTTTTTCTTCCGGTCATGATAAGTTTCGACAGCGACATTCCATATCTCAGGATAGTTTTTAACCTCACCAATAAATAGTTCAATGTCCACTTCTTCTTGATTTCCTGCCATGGTGCGTAATGCGTAATGCGATTTACAAATTAAAAAACACGTTATAAAATAAACGTGTTTGGCGTCAAAATAACGCAAGTGTGCACCGGGCCTAAGACCGTGTGAAGAAGCCTAATTCATAGTGATTTACTGATTTGACAAATACTATCGAAAAACTACCGTTTGGCGCATGACGGTCAGAGATCATTTTTCGTGTCTCCGACTAGGTTTGCAGTATGCAACAGTATCACATTTTTATAATTTTATTCATCTAAAAATATTATTAAAAACTATTATCAATAGTCAATACCTATATAAAGATTGGAAAATATATTTTATTATTTTTTTCAACAAATTTCTGTATTAGGCTGTCTGTTACAGAACTGAGCAATAAGCTTCAATGACAAAATAATAGCTCATTGACTGAAAATAAAAGATTGAAGGGCTTTTCAATAGGTTAGGTACTTTGTCATAATATATTAGTTAATAGTTACTATAACAACAATAATAGGTAGTTATAATTACTAGTAACATTTTTTTTTGTGCTGTCTCCGTCTTACAAGAGCGTAACATATCAAATTTTACATTCAGGAGATCACGTTTAGCTCAGTTAGCTTATAAAGTAGAGTGAATTGACCTCTTATTAAAATTAAAGGTAAGATTATTACGGAAGGCTTCTCTTGGGCTTTTTATTATATTTTAATTTTAAAGAGAGTTATGAGTATTTTAAGTTGTACAAACAATTTACAATTTTTAAATACTCATAACTCTCTTTAAAATTAAAATATAATAAAAATCCCATAAGATTTTGCTGCTGGTGCAGTGTACTATCCTTGGTATGTCAACAATATGAGCTCATCTGAGTCTATGAAATGACGAGTATAGCTAAGATTTAATGAATGGAAAATCTGTGTTTATCCTGTGTTATTGATCAAGGTTAGTTATCCTGACGTATTATAAATATTTACAAAATATGTTACCTATTAGCTATTAAGTGCATAATAATTTGGTTCCATGTAGATTTTTATACCAAAAATACAAATTACTTATTTACAAACCACCTGTTAGTTCAATTGTTTGGTAGTCTGGGATCAATGTCAGCGGTCGAGCGCAACGTATAGTGTATAAAAACAACATACTCCGTTCCATATTAGAGCCCATCGCTTTGGCGCATCCATATTAATTGATGAGCAACGTTCGGACCCCAAAAGCTGAGTCTATTTGCTCTGCTATTGGTCGCCGCCTCCGAAGGCGCTGTGATAAACAGGGAATCGCCAAGTGTAGTGGGGATAGATGTGCGAGTTTCGACCAATTTTCGTCTGCCGCCCGGTGCTCTCTTATTTGGGACAGAGTATAAGAAAAGTAATAATCGTATCATTACTCTACTATACGTAGCTACACGAAATGGGCCTATTCAAACTTAGTATTCAAAAAAATTTAGTATCCAATTGCATCATTTATGTTCATCATTCAATGATGATCATTTGTTCATAAATGGGTGGCAACTGATAAGTGGTAGACACTATACATAGGTATAGAAATGTCACCAAGATTGAGAGAAAATGAGTGGTCAGTGGACTTATTATTGCATTTAAATTTGAAACTAATCGTAATTACAAGGCAGAGACAGTTTCTGTCTTTTGAAGGTGAATTTTGGTTTGACACAGATTCTGCATAATATCTTTTTATTCTGGGCTAGGTATGAGCATTTGGAACCTTGGATACAACCTTAGGAGACGTTTTTTGTTTGGTTTTACTGTAAGAAAGAAAATAATCTTTCTTGTTTTAACATTTTACCAAATGGTCATTTATTGTTGGTGAGGTGCTTGCCGAAGCATAGAGCGCATTTGGTCGATAACTCACGTGACTTTTTACAGTCTAAGATAATCTAGGCTGCATTTAATACACCGTGGTGAGTTCTGACAACAATATCTATTAAGTATAAGTGCCTCTGTACGACTGGCATTGCTTACATTGTAGCTGTTTGTGATCTTTTCAGGATTTTTTGATGATAACTTTGAAGTTAAGCAATTTTGTCAGCTTAAATATGTTCAGATTAATCTCCAATTTAACAAAATTCACAGGAAATAGTGACAAAGGCAGTTTGTTGGTCTTATTGAGGATATTTTCAAAGGCATTTTCTTAGGATATGGCTTAGTATGTTCCTGCATAGAGTTGACATAATGACATAGCTACATTAAACTATACATATAATAAAGTTTGTTTTAAAGATAGAAAATTCATAACTGAGTAAATTATATTAAACAATTATTTTCAAATTTGAAATTATTATTCTAACCCTTGACTAACTGCCAATTCTGGTCATAAAAGCATAACACTGAAGTCGGAGACAGTCACAAACATAAAATAATTAACAATCTAGTGCATGTATACAATATTACAATATTTGTCGCAAAAACTTTAGAACATAATATTATACATTTTTATTTTGAAGGATGCCTCAATAATCAATCATTTTAAAGCATATTATATAAAATATTAAATTTTTTTATAATATACTACTATCCTCTAGGGAGGGATATATTCGTCCCTTGTCCTTGCTCTAAGTCCACCTATAGGGTTGATAGGGGGTTAAAAAACAAAAGGCAGAATATTTTGATCTCTTCTATGCATAAAATATATCATCTAGCGCTGGCCTTGCATATGGATGTTGTGCAATACTGACGATCGCAATAAGTGTGTGTAAATGGCGGTCGATACTACATAACTGAAACATATATTTTTACATTATTATTTTGAAATTGGAACTATATAGCATATACTATTCTAATTATTATAACAAAAACAATAAACTATAAATATTAAAAATACAAATTATTTTTCCAACCGTCGAATGATATTCGTTGGTAAATAGGTTTTATGTAATGCGGTTCGAGAGCGAAATTCAAACATTACATATTGTATTCAATTGGGTGCAATTCGAACACTACCTTTTTTGAACAAGAGTGGAATCCGAACATTACCCTTTCGGACCTAAGTGCAATTTGAAAAAAATAAGTGCAATTCAACCTTACCCATTTCACATTTGATTCTGCTGATGGCGCAACTGATCGGAACGTTTTCGGTGATCTGACTGACATCAAACGATGTTTCGGTATGATTTTTGCGTGTGTCCGTCATATACGCACACCTGAATAACCCTGCACAACGCATCGCGTGATAAAAATGATTTATAATTCATAAAAAAAAAAACCGGCCATCTAAATCGTACAATGTACGTACGCGTAAGTATTATATTATATAATATTATGTATATTAGTATATTGTACATTGTTATTATAAACTATTTACAAAAAATGAAATTTATTATTTAGAATCATAACTAATAATATATGTAAGTTCATATTTTAATTTATAATATGCCCAACAATAAAAGTAATCCACAGATAGTTCGAAATATTAGAATATTTTAGTACTCACAATAGAAATATCAAGTAATATTATTTGATATAAACTGATTGTACATTTTTTTTTTATTGATTTTGTTTTCTATTTTATTGGTCCACAGGCATGATGTTTTACCATGATATAGAACAGTTCTTCAAATTAGAACTCATAAGTAATGTTTGTACTACACAAATAAATTATGG